GCCCTTAAAGGGGAAAGGTTGCCTACCCCTGACCTAGTGGCAATGCAACATAATATCACTCAGGAGTGACACAGTGTTATCACACACCTTACAAGCATTCAGTGATATTGCTTGGACACTATCTGAGTGCTTTGGGGAGCATCCTTGTGTTTTAGCTGAATCACATTTATACAAATGAATAGTTTTGTATATGTATCATATATGCAGATCATTACTAAAAATGGTAGAATTCAAAGATATACCATGTTAATCTGTAGAATCAGTATGTAGAGAGATCTTGTAGCACCTTTGAGACTCACTGAAAGAAAGAAGTTGGCATCATGAGCTTTCGTACACTCAAAATGCATCTGAGGAAGTAGACTGAAGTCTATGAAAGCTCATGCTGCCAACTTGTTTCTTTCTGTTAATCTAAAGGGTGCTACAAGATCTCTCTACATACTGACTACTAAAAAATTTCATTCAAGATAGAGTTAGTTGACTGGGGTGATTAACTCTGCCTGTTCTTCCTTTGTATTTTAAATAAAAAGCATAGTTATCATCAAAAGCATAGTTGTCAACATGCATTGTTGTCAGCAAAGCATGATGTGACTTGGTAATCATGTTTCTATTTATTTTTACATTCATTATTTCTTGATTTGTTTTTCATAGGGTGGATTAAGCATGATATCACTTGATTTTATTTTGAATATATCCATTCATAAACAGGGTGCCAACTCTTATGGAAAAAACCTCTCCTGTGTTTTTAATAGTCATGTCACAAAAAGAACTATCTTACATACTCTCATAGTGCTACAAAATAAAGGAGGAATCTATGCCAGCTGAATTTCACCCTGACATGTAGACATTCACAGCATGGGAGCACAGCTAATATAACAATCTCATTAATATATAACAGATCAAAAGGGATCAGATAATATTTTTCCTTCTCAGAATAAAAGGCAAGGGAATTAAGAGGAGAACAAAAAATATTTAGATGGACAGATTTAGTAATTGTTCTGAGGGGAGGGGATTTGGGTTGTTTTAACCTTCATTTGTGCCCCTTAAACTGATCAAATTGTCAAGGGAGTTGGCACTAGTACTGCAACTTTAGCTATGCCATTTGACACCTAGGTTCCAGTTGCTTGCATCCTTCTTCCTGTCTTTTGTCTATATTGCTGCAAATATGCAATTTGTGAGGATGGAACTGCCTCCACAGGCTTCTTAAAAGATGAATTCATAGCTGCCTCTCTCTTGTGAAGCATTAGAATAACATCTGCTGTAGCATAAAGAAGGGAAATGAGGCAGTTGGAGAAACAAAAGGAGGCAGCTGGTATGAAAAGAGCAGGACTGGCCCTAAGACAAAGAGTGTCCTACGTGAGGCACATCTTCATTGCTCGCACCGTTCATTAAAAATATTTATAATGCTTATTCAAAGACAGCAACTAGCTATTCAAAATCAATTAAGTTATCAACTAAACTGGAAATATTCTAATGAAAAGGGGCAACATAATTAAATTTATTTTTCAACTAAAGTGATTGACAAGTTGGACTTTCTGTATTAACTCTTTAGTACCGTCTCTCATTTATTTGATTAATAAGTTAATTCATCACTTATGTCAAGTGATGAATTAGCTTATTAATCAAATAAATAAGAGACGGTACTAAAGAGCCAGCAAATTTTATGATAGATGAATTAATTCTGAGGTTAAAAGATTTCAAATCAAAAAGTACCCAGAGCAGCTCAAAACAGAGTTCTTCTTTGTTTCCAGTGGCTTTTTTTTGCATTCTAGATCATATATCATATAGGAGTGCTGCTTCTGTCCAGGAAGCTAAATTATGACACTTGTATGAATTAATTGAATGAACACAAAACATTGATCAGTTTTGCTTATGGCACTTGTAATCTTAGAACTTTTGCTAGTGTGCTTGTGAGAACCAGTAATAAAGTAATTTCCCTAACAAGATGTGGCCCCTGTACTCAGGAACCTGGGAGATGGGCTAGGAAGATGTTGTTGAGATGGCTTTCTAGACTTTTTTCCAGGCTGGAAATATCACCTGGGCTACGGGGCTTGGAGCTCAGACATGACCTGTGGATATTATAGAGCACTTTAGAAGCTATCTGGACTAGTTGGAGACATTTTGTAACTGCAGACAAATGGATGCAGTTCAGCATTTCAGAGAAGAGGCAGCTAAGCAACAGCAGACACTGGAGTTTGCACTGGAGTTCAGGCAGTGCCCCTGGCTACAGGTGCAATGTGGCACCATCTGGCACAAGGAGGTCCTAGATACTTCCACAAACAATGTCCCAAAAAGACACTGGACTAACCTTCAGTTAATGTGCTTGCTGTATTCTTTCTTTGGGAGAGCAAATCTGGCCATAGCAATGCATGCATTTATCAATTTCTAGTTAGACTATTGTAATGCATTCTCTGTGGTGGCTGCCCTTGAAAAGTATTCAGAAGCTGCAGCTAGTGCAAATGCAGAGAAACTGTTATCAGGTGTACGGTACATTTTAAAGGCCACAATGCTTACAAAAACTCATATTTCTAATTCCAAGCCCAATTTAAGGGGTTGGTTTTGACCTATTAAAACCCTCAACATTTCAGGGTCAGCATGACTGAAAGATGCCTCCTTCCCATTTGGGCCTGCCCAAAACCTAAGATCAACACCACAGGCCATGTTACATATACTATGACCCTATGAGGCTAGGTTGGTGGGTACATGTGACAAGGCTTTCTCTATAACAGCACCCTGATGGTGGGATTCCCTCACAAGGAGCATTAAGGTGTCTCCATCCCTTCTGAGTTTCTGGTGGGCAGTGAGGACAGTGCTATTTTGTGTGTCTTTGGGTTTTGAAAATTAGGGGTGTCTGCTCTAACTTTTTGTTAAACTGCTTCCCTGGTCTATACGAGGGAGTTTGGACTGTTTTAAAATTCATTTAATGTTTTAATAGTCAAGAGGCAACAAATAAATGCCTTCAGTGAGTGGATGGATGAATAGCATGAGTTACACCAGCGTAAGCCAACAAGAGGATTTAGGCCAGAGTCT